GTAGAACGTCGATATAACAAGAGATAGGTTCCAAGAGGAGTCGCTTTAAACCGAATTCACACTAAATCGAAGTGTTGTTTCAATGGAATAATTTAGTTTGGTACTTGAGAGAAACACAAAATACGAAAAAGACTGAGAGTCTATCCAGATGCGCCTCAGCCCATCTCCTAGAATAAACAAAACATTGTTTATTGTAGTATTATGTTAAAACAAACACTCATAAATCAACACAGCTGGGAAAAGGGGGGTTAGGTGATATGTTTGACAGTTGATGCCAAGGTCTAGTGCTTATTCATTTATCTGTCCTTAAGAGTGACTAAGTTTTTCTCTTATAAAATGTCACTGAACTGACATGGGAGAATATAATTAACATTGCTGGAATTCTTATAAGATCATGATTAATTTGAATACTATAAACATGCTCTAGATTGCATTAGACATATAAATTTTAGTTCTAATTTAAGAATTTTAGTACAAATAGCAAAAAATTTTATCTTGTGCAAAATATATGACGTTCATATTCAAATTATTCACTGTCTTGCAAGGATTCCAGCAATACAAATTATATTCTCCTAACTTTAGTCTGTGATATTATATAAGAAAAAACTTTAAGCCTAAAACACCAAACCCTAACTGGGGGGGATGGTGGGAGGGAGGGAGGGAAGTGACAGTGACATGTTGGACAATTAGAGCTGAAGGTCTAGTGAAGTATTTATTTGTTTATTTATGTCCTTTAGCTTGAGTTTATGTTTTTTGCTTATAAAATGTCACAGAAGTGACCGGGGAGAATATAATTTACATTGCTGGAATTCTTATAAGATAGTGATTAATTTGAATATAAACATGTTATAGTTTGCACTAGACAAAAATTTTAGTAATCATTTAGTACATTATTTTGAGTACATGTACAGTACAGCTTTGCCCTTAGGACTGTGTAGCATGCCCAGAGAAATATTAGGCGCAAAATTTTAATTATGATGCGCCAGATTGACTCATGAAATATGAAAGATTCGCTTTAAATTAATACTTTGTCCTTAATTGTGGGTGTCGCTTTAAATCAATAATCTTAAATTGAATTGCTTTAAATCGATGTTCTACTGTACTAAATTCAAAGCTCCTTGTGTGATGCCTCATGCATTACTATGAAGTCACATTGATTGAGATTTATAATAGAAAAACTTAAAACTCCTCTACATGACAGATAAATAAATACCATTAGGTAACCTTGGTTGGCCAGTGGGCTGGTGCCAGCTGTCATAATACATCACCTCCCCCCTGTCATAATACATCATCTACCTGTCATAATATATCACCTTCCTCTCCGAACTTCCGGCAAGACTTAAGGTTGTTTAGGCTTAAAGTTTTTATCTTATAAAATGGTACAGACTAAAGTTAACAGATTATAAATTGCATTGCTGGAATCCTTGCATGACAGCGAATAATAGTACTGTACATGTTTTTTCAACTTATTTTTTGGTAGATTTAGTAACTTTCTTCATTTATTTTTACTCATTTACATGCACACACCATCCTAAATACATATTGTGAAAAAGGTAAATGAAATATTTATCCTAAGGGAGAGAGTAATGCGCTGTAAAAAGTAGTCCGTGGTGACTCAAACGACTTAGTACCGAGTCACCGGGACGTTAAACAATTTTTGGTCTCAAGTTTAGCAACGTATTACCGAAACAACGTTAAGTGGGCCGACGTTAAGCAAGAACTTATTGTATAAACATCCCTTTGTTGCACCAGACATAATAATTTTAATAATTAGCTTAGTACATTTGAGTACAGGTTGTGATAATTTATGTGCTTGCTCAGAAGTTGTGATTGCAGTTTCGAAGCTTTGTGACACCCCTAATGTATAATGTGTCTCCATATGCCCTGGTTTATTCATTGGTCAGTTATCTAAGTGCAAGAGTAGCTCAGTCGAGCCATCATGTATCAATTAATTTTAAAATAGAAATTATAATGTAAAATGTTATAAGACAATGATTTAGTAGTGCTGTTAATGTGTGTGCTGTGTAAGTGTCTTGGCATGTCACCTCACCACCTGATTCCTGAACAAACTCAACAACTTCTTCAAATTCTACAATGTGCTTGGCAAGCTCAAAAAAACACACACACACACACACACACACACACACACACACACACACACACACACACACACACACACACACACACACACACACACACACACACACACACACACACACACACACACACACACACACACACACACACACACACACACACACACACACACACACACACACACACACACACACACACACACACACACACACACACACACACACACACACACACACACACACACACACACACACACACACACACACACACACACACACACACACACACACACACACACACACACACACACACACACACACACACACACACACACACACACACACACACACACACACACACACACACACACACACACACACACACACACACACACACACACACACACACACACACACACACACACACACACACACACACACACACACACACACACACACACACACACACACACACACACACACACACACACACACACACACACACACACACACACACACACACACACACACACACACACACACACACACACACACACACACACACACACACACACACACACACACACACACACACACACACACACACACACACACACACACACACACACACACACACACACACACACACACACACACACACACACACACACACACACACACACACACACACACACACACACACACACACACACACACACACACACACACACACACACACACACACACACACACACACACACACACACACACACACACACACACACACACACACACACACACACACACACACACACACACACACACACACACACACACACACACACACACACACACACACACACACACACACACACACACACACACACACACACACACACACACACACACACACACACACACACACACACACACACACACACACACACACACACACACACACACACACACACACACACACACACACACACACACACACACACACACACACACACACACACACACACACACACACACACACACACACACACACACACACACACACACACACACACACACACACACACACACACACACACACACACACACACACACACACACACACACACACACACACACACACACACACACACACACACACACACACACACACACACACACACACACACACACACACACACACACACACACACACACACACACACACACACACACACACACACACACACACACACACACACACACACACACACACACACACACACACACACACACACACACACACACACACACACACACACACACACACACACACACACACACACACAGAGAGAGAGAGAGAGAGAGGAATTAAGACAACAAGCATCCAGTGAGGGTCTTGATGTGTGATTGCATGGAGGCGAATTAAAAATCAGCTGTTGAGGAGCTTATCGCTTGGCAACACTGGTGCACTTTACTACTCCTTTCCACTCCATCTCTCTAATCACCCACACCTTTCTGCTTTCTCACTCCATATTTTAAAATGTTATGTAATGTAATGTTGAAGGGATACAACCTTGCTCATTTATACTTATACTTATCACAATCTCCCTAAAAATACTTTGTTTCGTGTTTATTCAAGACATCTTCAGATCATAAGGCCCACTAATCCCCCACCCAAGAAAGGGTGACCTGACATTCCATCAGAAGGTCTGTAATATGAGACCACTAATCCCCCACCCTATCTCCACTTTGCATTGAATCAGGTCAGGTCAGGTCCCCCCACCCCACAAAAAAAAAAAATAATAATAAATAGATATACCTGTACTTTAACTTTCATCTTTATTCAAGACATTTTCAGAATTTTTTTTTTTTGGAAAATTCCAGCCTTGGGAGTTATTTTCTGAGCATATTTCAATTCTGGCTATTGGAGATTTCCAGGTTTGAGGGATTCCAGCTAACGGATATTTTACTGTACAGTATAAGCTAAGGAATTGCAGGTGTTTTATTCTCTTGGGGTAACTGAGATGCCATAATTCAGGCACCTGTCTGGTGGCCATCCTGGGATGTGGATTGGTGGTTGTTTGCAGATTATACTGCTCTGATGGGCAGTTCTGAAGAAAAATTACAAATGATAATACTGTATTGAAAGAGTTGGGAAGATTATATGTTAGAGGAAAATTAATAGAAAAAGCGAACAAAACTATAATGATGAGGATGTGTAAAGAAGGGAGCTTCAGGGAAATTAAAGTTAGCCCAAATGAACATAGAATGGAGTGGATACATCAACAAATGGAATGACAAGAAATGAATTTAACCAAACAGTAGTGGAAGGAAAGAAAGTTATTGGTGGACTGAGAAATGTACTGAGAAAGAAAGAAATTAAAAAATCAACCTAGAATGTAAAGAGATAGATCGAAAGTAAAATAAGAGACAGAGTGGATCAGCATCTGCTGAAGTGTTATGAACAAATTGAGAGAATCTGGACTGAATGGTAGGAGGGAGAGATGGGGGGAGGGGAGAATAAAGAAGTGCAGTAGATGGAGGGAAATGATGCAATAGAAGTGAGGAGAAGGACATCCAGGAAGCATTAGTGTATGTGAATAAGCGGTGATCCTGGTGTCAAAAGAATATTTGGGGAAGGATCTGCTGCTAAAGGGTGAAGCTGGCTTGAGTGCAGCAACAGGGGTAAACTAAATTTCTATTTAGGGCCTTTAGGGAAGACAATACCATGACAACAGTAAGAATGAATGAATAAGACTGATGAAGGTAGAATGTTATACAGTAATCCATCCTGTATTATATCTGGAGGAGGTTTTAAAGAGTGAAAAAATAATCTCCGTCATTAAATTTTCATTAATATTTATATATTTGCTAATTGATCTATTAATAATTAAATTATTGCAGGAGGCGACATCAATGACTTTGAACTTACATCAAACACAGAGACAGAACTAAAATTGAAGGACAAACCTAAAGGCCTTGACCGCGAAGTCACAAGCCAGTACTCTCTAACCATCAATGTATATAATCACAAGACGCCTGTAGATGGGACCTCAAAAGAAAACAACACTCTTCATGTAAGGGTCTATTTATGTGAAGGTTTTCATATTCTGCCTCTAATTTGATTGGGGAGGTGTTTGTCTTCTCCTACCTCTCTCCTCATACACACTGAACCCTCACTGAATTATCCTAACATTTTCCAGTGGTAGTCAATTGGTCTTTGATTTTAATCCTCATTGAGGATGAAATATTTTATTGATATCCAGAGTGAACCTGTACCAGTAGTATTACCATATCAATATTGACTTATTAAAACCCAACTTGCATTCAAAATTCCAGACCATAAAAGGAACAAATAACTTTACCTACCTCAACCTGTCTGTGACATGTGATGCAAAGTCTACATGACCTGGGTTGATTTGTAAATTCCATGGTGTGCTAAACAAACCTAGCTTCAGGACATTGTAGGGGTACGCTGGCTTTGTAGCTCTCTTAGTCCAGCACAAAGTAAAAGGAAATTATTAACTACAGTTGTACCCCACTTAACGCGGTCAATTGAACCCAGAGGGTCCCGCATTAAGTGAAAACCGCGTTAAGTGAATAACAGAACATATGGGATTAATTCCAATAGAACCCAGCCCGACCCCCAAACTCCACTTTTTAACGACAAATAACTATGTTGTAGTAAAAATAACATCTTAATTTTATGATGGTACATGCACACAATTAATACTTAAGAGAAATAGAGAAATACAGTCGCCAAGTTAATGTCCATTCAAATAATGGACTCAACTCCCTCCCCCTCTTCTCACACTACACTCACTGGCTCTTCCCTCTGAGAAATTTTTGGGGGAAAACCAGGTATAGTAATAAATAATTCCTCAAACTAAAGTTAGGATAATATAATTGACATTGCTGGATTCCTTGTAAGACCAGGAATATTTTGAATATAAATGTCATATATTTTTCACAAAAGATAACATATTTACTCAGAATAAACTTTACATCAAAAATTTGTATGTCTAATGCAAAATCTATGATGTTTATATTCAAAATGATCAGCAAATTGTAAGAATTCCAGCAATGTAAATTATATTCTGGCCGGATAATTTGTATGAATTTTATGAGCTAAAACAAATATCTTCAGTTAATAAAAAAAAAAAAATATTCTTCGACACTATCTGTCAATCAAAGTACCCCACCTTGCCTTCCCCCCCTCTTCCAACCGCGTGGTCAGTCCCAACCCTCCCCCCACCCCCCACCAATCCTCCCTTCCAGAGTTTATAACATTTAGTATTAAATAATACCTCAGATTAAAGTTAGGATAATATAATTGACATTGCTGGATTCCTTGTAAGACCAGGAATATTTTGAATATAAATGTCATATATTTTGGACAAAAGATAACATAGTTACCTAGAGAACAATTTTTATCTAAAAATTGTATGTTTAATGCAAAATATATGTTGTTTATATTCAAAATGATCACCAAATTATAAGAATTCCAGCAATGTAAATTATATTCTGACCGGGTAATTTGTATGAATTTTATGAGCTAAAACAAATATCTTCAGTTAATAAAAAAAAAAATAATTCTTCACAGGGTAACAGATGGTCGGTCGGTCGGTCCCTCCCTCCCCCCCACCCCCCACCAACCGTCCCAAGGAGATGTGTGGGATAACCACTAAATTTTAATAAATAATACCTCAAACTAAAGTTAGGATAATATAATTGACATTGCTGGATTCCTTGTAAGACCAGGAATATTTTGAATATAAATGTCATATATTTTGGACAAAAGATAACATAGTTACCTAGAGAAATATTTTTATCTAAAAATTGTATGTTTAATGCAAAATATATGTTGTTTATATTCAAAATGATCACCAAATTATAAGAATTCCAGCAATGTAAATTATATTCTGGCTGGGTAATTTGTATGAATTTTATGAGCTAAAACAGGCAGTCAGGCAGTGTGGCGGGTGGGGGGTGGTGCGAATCTAAAAATAGCTCTCGAGCCGGACACTCACCGCGTATATGATGAAAAATGCCGCGTTAAGTGAAAGTTCAGCTTTGGCAAGGCACCGCGTATATGCGAAAACGTGTTAAGTGAAAGCGCGTTAAGCGGGGTAAAATTGTAATAAAATTTTTTACATGTTATATTTTTAATTGATTTAATCAAATACAGTACAACATATTAAGTATTCTCCACAGTATCTAAAGACAAGATAGAAATACAAATGTATTCAAGATAAATTAGAAAACATTGGACTCTATTTTTTATATGATCTATTATCCTTCACTAGGTAGCTAATGTAATGTAACCACTAAACTATTGTTCTAGACCCTGGACACCTGACATTAGAGGCCAGAATATAAATATGAATGTAATATTCATCTAAGTATGTAACTATTATAACAGAATTGTATCTGCAAACTACATAACTTTGTAACAGTTGCCTCTTCTATCACAGGTCACAATAATTGTGTTAGATGTGAATGATAATCCACCAACATTTGATGATGAAGTCACATTTGCCAGTTTCACAGCAAGTGATGGTATGGGCCAAACTATATGCACTATTCAGGTAAGGATTACATTGGTATTTAAAGATTGTCATATTGTGATGTTTAATTTTCATTCCTGTACACTTATTATTATATGAATAGAAAGGTAAGTACAGTACTGTAAAGAATTAAGGGATACTGACTGAAAGGATGTAACATCCATTAGGTAGTAAGCTGATAAGTGATGTGGAAGATCAGTAAAATATTGACTTAGCTGGGTTTGTTCGTCTTAATTTGTTGGTTTTTCTTGGAAGGAATACTTAACCTATTGCTTATATTGTATGAATGGCAAGTAAGATACATGGGGATGAACAAGCTTCCAAATCATGGATGACTAGTTTGTTGTCATCCAAAATGGGAACCAGGATTTACTTGACTAGTTTTTCAGAGTTTGGAACTGGGCCTGCACTTAAAGTATATTTTTATGAGTTTTTGTGTTATCTTGCTTTATGAGTGATGCAGTGGACATTGCAACTGGTGTACAGTCATAAAAATCTTGTAGACTCCAAGGGACCAAGAAAACTTTCATTTGTGCAACTGAGCTATATAAAATCCTAGAAATTTTAATTCCAACTCCCCAAAATTCATGATTTTGGCTTAGCAAGAAATTAATAATAAAAAAAATCTGAATGATAAAAATTCCAGGAACACTACAAATTTCACTTGTTTTCTGGGACTTGCATCACTCAGGTGATGATAAAAACCTTTGTGAATATTTCATAAAACATTATTTTATATTATACTTGATAGTGTCATTATTTATGAGACAAATAGAATGTTAAACTTACAGGAAATCACAAATATCCATTGGACATGTGTTCTTAGACAATGCCAACAAAATAGGGCTGATGTAAATAAGGCAATGTTTCCCCATAGACATAGTACAGGTTAACAACCCTTTATCCGAAATTCCGAAAACCGAAAAGCTCTGAAAACTGAAAGTTTTTTTTTTTTATAGCCCACCCGGGCATAGATCACTGACCCACATCAGGGCCTGGGGGGGGGGGAATGTAATAGTAATAATAATTATAATAATAATAATTATTCATAGTAAATATAATTTTTAATAAAAATACACCAAAATAAAATAATAATGATAACAATAATAATAATAATATTAATAATAACAATAATACTGTAAAATAATAAAATATAATAATAATAAAGAAATACAAGAATGAAAAAAAGATCAAAAGTGAAAAACACGACCTAGACCTATGAATTATTATTACAGTGACCCCTCGTTTAACGAACACCTCGGTTAACGTAATTTCGATTAACGAACTGCCTTCCATAAGGATCTTCAATTCGGTTAACAAAAAAAAATTCGGTTAACGAAGTTCTTACGAACCGACCTCAACATGTTTTCGCTTGCACTGATCGGGCAACCAGCTTTAGTACAGTAAAAGTCCAAAAATCCGGACTGCTTGGGGATTGGGTCGGTCCGGATTTTCGGATTTTCCGGATTCTCAGGCAGTACTTTTAAAATTAAAATTTAAGGAGGAATAAAGAAGAGATGAACAGGTACATTTTGATAGTTTATTCATTAGCAAATATAGCATGCTTCATTTATCAAAACGAGCAGTTTTAATGAAAAAGCTGTGAATTCTAGAATTTTATTCATTGCCTTTTTGATATCATAAATTGTAAACTTTCCAATGTTGTATTTTCCATTAGAACAGTATTGCTCACACCACGTACCAGTTTCTTAATTATTTCAAGTTTGTCACTCAATTTCAACGTGTTGTTCTTTCTCTTCACACAACGAAGTTTATCTACTTTAGGAGCCATTATTATGGGCTTGTACAGTAATCTGTAAATGGAAAGAGTAGGACTTAAAATATTGTTCTATTCATACTGTGCTTGATATAATGCATTCACGGAAATGTAATATTTTTGCTATAATGACGTACGTATTATAGTGGAAAGTGGGATCAAATCGTGACGAAAACAATGACTTTCGCTTTCTTTCGTTCAAAAGATGTTACCGTAATCGCTTTTCGAATGGTTTAGTTAAAAAACTGTTGTACTGTATTACAATAATATTCTATCCTAATTGACTTGAATAAATACTACGATACCATATTTCTGAATATTTTCATTAAAATCCATCAAAATCATTTTCTTTGTCATCGTCTGCAGCACCAAACAGCTTCTCCCAGTCCTCTCCTTGAACAGGGCTAGAGGGTACGTGTTTTTCGAATCGTTTTCAGTTAAAAAACTATTACATCACACGTATATTTTACCTAAACTGCGCCTGAATGAATATATTCTCGGAAATAAATAGTAGTTTTGCTGAAACGTGATGTATTTCAATGTAAAATAGGATAAAATACATGTCGAAAACAAAAGACTTTACCTAAGCTTCCGATGTTCTTGAGATGTTACTCGTTTTTTTAATAGTTTTCGGTTAAAATTCTGTTATATTACAATGATATTCTATTCATACTCTGCTTGATATAATACATTCACGGAAATGTAATATTTTTGCTGAAATGACATACGTATTAAAGTGGAAAGTGGGATAAAATCGTGACGAAAACAATGACTTTCTCTTTCTTTCGTTCAAAAGATGTTACCGTAATCACTTTTCGAATGGTTTAGTTAAAAAACTGTTGTATTACAATAATATTCCCTCCTAATTGACTTGAATAAATACTTGAATGGAAATGTACAATATTTTTGTTGAAACTACCTGCGTTTCAGTGTAAAGTGTTGTAATAATAAATGGTAAACAATTTGCCTTCGGCACTCGTGTTTCAGTTTATAGGAAGTAGAGCGTTTTTACTGAAGGTTTTGTTGTTCGCTTACCCTCAAAAACGTGGGTCGAACTATAAACGAGGAATATCATAAATTAATGATTTCTTGGTCAAAAAATCAGGGTCGACAGATAAACGAGGGGGGGTTTATAGATGAGTATATACGCTATGTTGTCACAGTTTGATTGCTCGTTTTAAAGTGGAGACCACGTGGTCGCTTGTTGTCGCTGTGCAGCTGTGGCGCTCACGCATGCGCACATACACACAAAAGCCCGCTAAAAAAAAAAAAGAAAAAAAAAATAATTAGTTTTCCAAAAGTCCGGATTCTCGGGTAGTCCGGATTTTTGGCATCCGGATTTTTGGACTTTTACTGTATCAGTCCGCCAATACATTAATTGGTTCTAGGGCTTAAATTCCTTACTATTTTAGTAAATATCAAGAAGTTTATACTATTCAATAATTTTAAAAGTTTAATATTAAATTTTTTAGTCATTTTAACAATTATTGAACATAATTGAAGGTAAAGTGACTAGTTTAATGCGCGGCATCCAGCCTCTTAACACAGCAAACAGGAGTTAGTCTCTCTCTGTTTTCACTGGAGGTAACATCTTGCTTGAGACTCTCTTCAACTAAATGCTTTTTTTCTGTGTTTCCAAGCAAATTATTGGTCATTTTGAAATATATTTTACATATTGACAATATATAATGCAGTGCAGTGTTGATTTAAAGAAAATAATCTTGAATTACACCAGAGAGCTAAAATTTTATGGGTGAAATGGCGCCATGGGGTGACTTCTCTTCCACCCAATGCCTTCTCTTCTTCCTTCTCCTCCACCCCCATTCTAAATCCCATCATCATCATCCAGGAGCCTTCTACATACACACCTCAAAGTAAGTGAACTTTTATACCATTTTTGTTGAATTTAGGAAATTTTCGGTGAGTTGGAACCAATTACCCAAAAACCCATTGAAACAATGGTTTCGGTTAACGAACTTTTCGGTTAACGAACGACCTTCTGGAACGGATTGAGTTCGTTAATGGAGGGGTCACTGTATTATAATTTTTATTATATTTTCGCTCCCCAGGTCCAGATGTGGGTCAGTGATCTATGCCCGGGTGAGCTAATACACACATAAAAAAAAAAAAAAAAAGCTAACCATTCTGAAAACCAAAAAATTCCGAAATCCGAAATGCCCCTTGCCCCAAGTATTTCGGATAAGGGATTGTCAACCTGTATTATATTTTGGGAGTGTGTTCTCAGCCACATTAACCCAACTTAAACTCCACTTAACTAAATATGAAAGAGAAAGATTAAACATATCAACACAAAACACCAATGAAATGCATAAATAGATAATTTATTGAACACGGATACATAGGTACTGTCCAAAATAAAGCTGATATTACAAACACCTTGGTGGTTGTATAGTAGTCCAAGATACTTTTCACTCATAGTTAAAGGTCTTTAGAAAGACTAATGCAATAATAATCATAGAAAATTTTTGATGTTCTCCGACTAGTTGCTTCAAAAGCTCAGCTGGTGACGCTGTCACATAAGGTTGTTGTTGACTTATGGCTTGAATTTTTTCTGTTCTTATCACAACAATTACATTTTACATGACAGGCATGACTCATGATAATTTATTTTCCACAATTGTATATTGAAACGACTCAAATGGAAAAGATGTAAATTGGTTCCTTGCATGGTATTCATTCAATTTCCTGTTCCTTATAACGGCGACACCTTCATCTCAGAGGATAAAAAGTTGAATGTTAAGTGAACTATCCTGCTATCCTATAGTCTCAGAAATCTTGGCATGGCCTATCAGAATACATTCATATCTATTTCATACATTTTGCAGTAGCACTTTTCCCTTATCCCAAACAATATGCACTTAAGGATGTAGTAATGTACAGGAATATCTCCATTAGCCAGAATCCCTCAAACCCGGAATTCTCCGATAGCCGGAATTGAAATTTGCTCGGAAACTCATTTCCAAAGCCGGAATTATCCACAAATTTCTGCCTTTGGGAACAAATTTTCCGGGGTTGAAAATCGAGAGAATTCTCTGAAAATGTCTTGAATAATGACAAAAACTAAAGTATTTTGGGGGGACCTGACCTGACTCAATGTCAGGTGGAGGTAAGGTGGGGGATTAGTGGTCTCCTATTACTGACCTGATGGAATGTCAGGTCACCCTTTCTTGAGTGGGGGATTAGTGGGTCTGATGACCTGAAGATGTCTTGAATAAACACAAAA